CTGGATGTCGCCCGTAGGCCGTAGAACCACCATCCGCGCTGTGCCCGCTGCGCGCTACTTGAAAGTTGTCCTTGCTCACCACTCGGACTCGGACCTGCGAAATGTACGCAGGCGGGGGCGCTGCAGGCGGGCGCCATGATGCGTGTCCTTGCTCATTACACTGTACCGTGCTTTGCCGCTGGTCATAGTAGGAATGGCATCCGCATCGCAGTGGCCCATGTCGGACAAATGTATGCCGCGATTGCACGTCACCCTCTCCCAATTGTTTTCCCGTGCCGTGGATTGCCTTGCACGTCGACTTGCTCGTTCAAGCTCTCACACAGGACCACACAACTGGTATAGCCGCCGTGGACGAAACATCATTGGCAATACATCGCTCTCGCATCCCTTTCCATTTAGTATTTAACACGTGACCTCATACATAGAGGCCTCCTAGATGGGGTCGGAGGAGATGTGGTCGGAAGATCGCGATGCACTGGTGATGCACCGGCGATGCATCGGCGATGCACCAGCGATGCGTCGTCGACGTCGGCGATGCATCGGCGACGTCGACGTGAAGCAAGTCGGGCTCGACATCGAGCCGCATGGGCGACGCATCGGCGATGCGGCGTGATCCTCCGACCCCGTCTACTCCGACCCCGTCTGGGAGGCCTAGAATGCGTCCGACGATGTGATTTTGCAATCCGCGGCCGTCAAGGTCCCGACCTCTTCCCCGGGGCCACCGTGCCGTCCTGGATCCACGCCTGCTCGCCCCGGAGGGGGGGCGGGCCAGAGACCGACATCGAGGAACGGCGCCTGGACTTACAACAAGACGTTCCTCGGAGAGGTGTGATCACTCCCTCCGCTCGACCCAGACAGGGCGAGCAATGCTGGGCCCGACTTAACCTCAGGTGGAGCGTTTTAGGGTGCCACGAAACGACTCCTGTGGGGGGCCCCAGGACGACGTGGACGGCGCCATCGGCTCCACGTTCGATGGCGGGGACAGCACCCGGGGGCCCGCGGGCCCCCAAGTACCACGCGCCTGGTCGAACAAATTCCACAGAGCCGCTACTGTTGCAGGGAGCGCCCGTTGAAGCATGGGACAAGACCCTCGATAGATACGTACTGAGTCGCTGCGGACGTGCATCGTCTGCGAGAATACCGCTGAGGCGAACGGGGTCGTGCATCGGGAGTACGTTGCAAAGCCCGGATCGCCAGATGCTCCACGACAGTCTTGCTTGGCGCAACCCAGCTGGCCCAGCACTCAGCGATGCCGCAAGTACAGCGACTACATCAAGCCCTCGCTGAGGGGGACGCCATGGCTCGTCTTTTCTAACATCTCCCCCTTCTTCTATCAGTACTGCACTATGCCAGCGCCTGGAGTACCTGGACCAGCAGGAGCTCTTGCCCAGTTTATGTGACGATTCGTGGACTCGCACGAGTTCCTCGAAGCAGCGAGCAACGTCCCCGAACGACCCCCATGTCGCGCCCGACGGCACGTGCCGAAGGCCATCCGCGGTGCACGATCGGCGTGACAACTGAGGTACGGCACTGCGGGCAAACTCAGAGGCGGTGAAACATGTGGTGCTGGGTGGATGAGGTGGCAATACTTACTGGACTTGTGGATATCTTTCTCCAAGGCAGACCAAAGTCTTCCCAACCCGACAACGGGAAATGCGTGAACTTCGACACCTGGTTCCAGTGTGCGATATCGATGAAGTTGGCGACAAAGACCGGCTTCCGCTCCCAAGTGCAGGGAGTGGGCGCCGTCTAAGTCGCTGCTCGCCTCTATATTCTAAGCGACCCGTGGTGCCTGTCTCCCATGTCCCAGCATTGTGATTCAGGTTGGCGTTGATTTCTTCGTTTCGCACGTTCAGAACATGCAATATGTGATGTGTGAGTTCCCTCCTCCACGATTTTATTATGTTCCCGGGTAAACGCCTAGACGCCGACCTAAGCGGGTCACGAAACGAGTGAGGTGTGGGCCGTATTGGGCGGGGGTCCCATGTGGACGCAGCCCCTGGTTCCATAGCTGGAACTCCCTATCGGGTCACGAAGCGCGAGGTGTTTGCCGACTTGGGCTCCTTGTTGGGCCACGAAGCGCGTGAGGGGTATGCCGAAAATGTGCTGGTGGACGCTACCCCTCCCCCCACGAAACATGTGAGGAGGGTGCCGAGGCTGTGGGACGCTGTGTGCCACACCCGGGGGCTTCGGTGGAGCTCACTATGGGGCGGACTTCGGCGGAGCCTACTTTGGGGCCGCGAAGCGTGTGACGGGTGTGCCGAAATGGGCTTGGGGACGCCATGTGCCTGCACCCCCCCCACCCCTGGGGGTTTCGGTCTTGTGGGGCTACGAAGCGTGTGATGGGTGTGCCGAAATGGGCTTGGGGACGCAATGTGCCCCCTCTCTGGGGCTTCGATGGAGCCCCCTGTATGGGGCCACGAAATGTGTAAGGGGTGTGCCGAAATGCGCTGGGGGACGCTATGTAATAGTACCCCCCCTCCCCGTGGGGGCTTCAATGGAGTTCCCTATGGGGCCACGAAACGTGTGTAGTGCCAGGAAGTGGACACGTGGAAAGGAGAGGCAGGGGTGGGAGGAGGGAGGAGGAAGGAGGAAAGAGACGCGGAGCGCTGCGGATTCAAAACGAGGACCCAACACAACACGATGGTAAGGAACATCAGCGTGTGTGCGTGTGTGCGTGTGCGTGTGTCCGTGTACGTGTGTGTGTGTGTGTGTGTGTGTGTGTGTGTGTGCGTGTGCGTGTGCGTATGTGTGTGTGTGTGTTTGTATGTGTGCGTGTGTGTATGTGTGTACGCGTGTGTGTGTGTGTGTGTGTTTGTGTGCCTGTGGGTGGTGTGTGTGCGCGTGCGTGCGTGCGTGCGTGCGTGCGTGCGTGCGTGCGTGCGTGCGTGTGCGTGTGCGTGTGCGTGTGCGTGTGTGTGTGTGTGTGTGTGTGTCCGTTCGCGCGCGCGCGCGAATGCCCAATCCGATCCCCGCTGCTCGGCAACGCCGGACGGTCCGTCCAAAATAACAAATCAGCATCCTCATCCTTTTCTTCGCCCTCGTCCTCCTCGTCCTCCTCCCCCTGCTGTTCCTCCTGGCTCTTCCTGCCTCCTCCTGGCTCCTGGCTCCTGGCTCCTGGCTCCTGGCTCCTGGCTCCTCCTCTGTCTCCTCCTGCTCCACGACGAGGCCCGCGATCGCTGATGCCCCACGCCCCTGTTCCTGGTCCTACTCCTCCCCCTCCCGCAGCTGACCCTGCTCCCGGCCTGTCCTGCTTTCCCCCCCATCTCTCCCTCGCCACCTCAGCTTTCTCCTCCCCGTCCTTCCCCTCGTCCTCTCTCACCTCCCGCCGCCCGTCCGCCTCTCCCTTCCCCCCTCCCCCGCCTCTCCCCCCTCCCCCGCCTCTCCCCCCAACCCCTCCTGCCCCCCCAAACCCCTTCCGGCCTCCCCCGATCCTCCCTCAGAGAGGTTGGTCAGCTTTCTAGGCGGCGTCGACAGGTCGGAAGCCTGAAGGGCCTCTGGGCAGTCTGGGAGTTCCGGGCGCTCCCATCCGAGTTCGCCTTCAAAATTCACCCCGAGCTGACCCTCCAAGAATGCAGAAGTTTAGCAACATCCACCGGCCAATCGCACTCTCGGTGAGGCATCAACGTGCCGCAAGTCGTGCACGTGCTGGTCGGAGCCTGAGACCGATCAGCTTTCGTCGCTTGGAATTGAACCTTGATTTCGCGCGATGAGACTGAAGTGCACATCTGGCTCATTTGAACAAACGGGAGTCCTTCTTGTCAGGTCTCTCCTCAAATATTCTCTTTGTCCTTTCCCTCCCAAACGGTCCACTCAAAACAGGTCGCAACATACAAACCTCACTTGGGTCCCAGTCAGGCAGGTGCCAGTCAGGCTATCCCCATGACCGAAACAGACTTTGGCAAGGCCCGAAACAAGTTCCATTTAGGCGTCAACAACTCTCCGGACGAATAGGGCGGGGGTAGTAAAAGGGGGGGGCTAGCGCATCATTTCACGTGGCAAATTTTCCCGGCCCCTCCTGGGAATAACATCCTGTCTTCTTGCTTGTTACCATCATTCGGGGAACAACCTCCCGGCTACACCCAAGAAGAAAGACTAGACATGCGCGCGGAAGCCTTGGACATGTACCAACACCTTGCCCTCGACAGTCTCCTGAATAGGCAGCGGCACGGCAAACAAATAATTAGACATACATGTGGAAGCCTTGCACATGTACGAACAGTATGCCCTCGACAATCTCCTGACCACACTGTGGCGCCACTCCCTGTGTCTTGCTGAACCTTTAAAAACATGTCAAGCGTGGGAGATACAGCAATGGGGGGAGCCAATCCTGCACGCTACTGATGTTACTATTGCACCTGCACGTCCAATTAGCGGCAATGCGTCGCGAGTCAACACGTCCCAAGTATTGCACAATAGAAATACACAAGACCACCGTATATACACGTCTCCATCTATATATATATATATATATATACATATATATATATATGTAGACAAAAAAGAGATGTACGTAAACCGTGTGCGCACAGCAGGCATCTGCATGCGCACGCGATTATATGGGATAAACGCACATGGTTGCACAGTCATTAGGTGTGCCGGGGCGAAAAGAACAATCATTGACGTAGCCACTACCTTCCAGGGTCAAGACACATCACGCCGGATGACCGCAAATCTTAGCAGCGAAAGAGTGTGATTATACACATGTGTGAAGTGTGTATGTATACCCGCACGCATGCTTATGTATAACTGCACGTTCGGTACACATATAAAGATGTATGTATATCAACAGGGTGATACGGGAACGATGGCCAGGCGCAACGAGCTACCATTGATGATGTAGCACGGCAGACGATCCCAGACTTGCACCGACGGGCTCAGACAGAGGGTCCAGGAACGTGGGAGACGAACGTCAGACAAAGCACAGATCCTGCGACTGGAACAGACAGACTCAAGCAACCGGGAATTCAAACGATACCATGCTCCCCGTGTCCACCGTCCTCGACATCCCACTTCTGTTCCCACTGAAGTTATCAGTGTTCACGTCGTCCGGCTGCTTAATGACCACCTCGTTCCATGTCCTGATCATGCCACGGTAACATATCCTAGTCAGTTCCAGCTGTCCCCTCGGGAGGACGAGGGCGAGGGAGGAGGGAGGAGGCTGACGAAGAGGGATGATGGAGGAGAGGAGGAGAGTGAAACATGATGGACCCACGAACCCGGAAAGGGATATAGACATGTGCAGCATGGTCACGTTTTCACGATACCCAACTGGGCGACACCCCACGAAACATCCCACGAGACACCCCGCGAAACATCCCACGAGACACCTCACGAAACATTCCACGAGACACCCCGTGAAACATTCCACGAGACACCCCGTGAAACATTCCACGAGACTTTTTACCCATCGAAGAAGCCCAGCGGCAGAAAGCGGCAGTCGGGGGGGAGGAGGGAGGGAGGGGGGGAAGGGGGGAAAGCAGCCCGCGCGCGGGCTGCTGGGGCACCGAATTAATCCGGCGGCCCAGGGCGCTGCACCCACCGCGCCCGCATGGCCTCCCGCCAGTCGGCCTCGCGCCCGCCAGCCGGGACCGTGGGCAACAGCAGCAGGGCTGCCGCCCGCGGCGGCAGCGCGGCGGCCCAGCCCGCGCACGGCGACGCCGCCAACCGCGGCCAGGTGGGCGCAGACGCCCCGCAGCGCATGCAGGCCACCCAGCCGGGGCCTTGCGCGGCGGCGTGGAGCTGCCAGGCCTGCCCCGCGAACAGGGCGGCGCAGCGGGCACTGCCGCCGCTGCCGCGCGCGTTGCCGGGCTGCGCCAGTGCTGCAGCAGCTGCAGGCGGGGGGCCCTGCGGCTGCGCGCCTGGCTGCGCGCCGAGCACGCCCCGGCGGCCGCGGCGCCGGCGCGGCGGCCTGCGGGCCCGAGGCGCCACGCCTGCGCTGCCGTGGTTCACCTTCAGGGCGGCCAGCTCCACCTCTGCCAGCAGCCGCTGCGCGACGCCCAGCGCGCGCAGGCGTCTGTCCCGCCCGGCGACCAGGGCGGGCGGCGGGAGCCGCGCGCGCGCGGCTGCGCCCGCGAGCCGGTCAGCTGCTGCGTTGCCAAAGCGGTCTCCGTCAGCCAAGCCTCGCGCCCGGGCGCTGGCTGCGTCGAGATGTCCTTTAATCCATCGCGCGACGAGGGTCCCGCTCTGGCAGTAGGGCGCCAGCAGCTCCCAGACCTCGGCGTGCGCCCATTCCGCTGGGTTTGTCCCCGCCCGGAGGGCCGCGACCCCGTTGCTGACGAACCGGGAGTCCGCGATCACCTCCACGGGGCCCGCGGCGAGGCTCAGAGCATGCAGGGCGGCCGTCAGTTCCGCCCTCTGCGCCGTCTGGGGCCCGTCGACCGGCCCGCTGCAGTCCTGGGTGCCGTTGGGGCCGTCGAGCCGTAAGCCCCAGCCTGCCCTGGCCAAGAGCGGATCTGTCGGCCGCTCGCAGGCGCCGTCTGTCCACGCACGGCGCCGTGGCGGGCGCTGCTGCGGGTCGTGCTGGCCGGCGGGCAGCGGCGGGGGCGGAATGGGCACGCAGGCGCCCTCGGCCAGAGCGCTGAGGACCGGGTCCTCCGAGAGGACGCCCGTGCAGGCGGTTCCCGGCGGCAGGGCCGCGCGGAGGCCTTCCGGGCGAAACCCGGTGCCGCGCAGAGCAGTCGCTCGCGCCTCCTGCCAGCACGGACACCGCCAGAACCGGTGCTCTGGATCCTCGTCGGCCACCCGGCAGTGGGGGCACAGCGCCGGTTTGCCCCACTTGGCTGCCACCGACTGCGTGACGACACCGCCCGCAAGCACCGTGCGCAGCGCGCCCGCCAAGTCTGGCGCGAGCTTTCCTTCCTCGAGCAGCCTGCGCGTGGCCCAGCGGTCCACCCCGCCAGCGAGGTGCCCCATGTCGCCGCGGCGGGCGGCAACTGCGGCTGCTTCGCGGCGGGCCCAGGCGGCCAGGAGCACGCCTCGCGTTTCCTGCAAGGAGTGCTCTGCGGGGCGCCACCCCGCCGGCACGGCCGGGACGCCTGTCCAGCTTTCGACGTCGTGCCCAAGCCGGAGCTCCGCAAGGCTTCGCACGGCCGCCGAGATCGGCCCATTCTGCCGCCCGTGCCCCGCCGCGATGGCGCCAGCCGCGCTGCGCGACCGCTGTGCTGGGAAGCGGCCGCGGCGGATCGCCTTCGCGATGTGCCAGAGCGGGGCGATGGTCGCCACGGCAGCTGGGTCGAGGCGCCAGCTGGGGCTGAGGACGCCGAACACGACCTCCGCGGCCGCCCGGAAGCCACCGCGACGACATACCGCGTGCCGCGCTGCCGCGCGGAGCCCCCGCAGCTCGGCCTCTGGCGGGCGCCCGCGCGCCGCGCCGTACAGGCCGGCAGCCGTGCCCGCCGCCGCGCCCAGCAGGCACCGCTGGCCGAAGCTGACGGGCAGCCTGGCGATGCGGGCAAAGCGGGTTCTCGCGTCAGCCATCCGGCCCCCCGCCACGGCACTGCGCCTGGCCTCGCCTGCGACGGCGACCACCCCCAGGTCCCGGATGGTGGTGCCTGCTGCCAGCGCTGGAGTCTGCGCGGCAAGCCAGCGTCGTAACTCGCTTGTGTTGGCGAACTGCCGGCTTTTCCTCCGGTTCAGCTCCCAGCCCATGGCGGTCTCGAACTCCAGCGTCACGACCAAGGCGCCCTGGACAGCCTCGGCCGCCTCCCCGGCCTCCTCGGCCCCGGCGCGCATCCACAGCGTGAAGTCGTCTACGTAGATACGCCGGCGGAGCCTGTCATCCACGGCCCCCGCACGCCGGTGCCATGGAAGCGTCAGGACGCTGAGGAAGAACACTGCTAGGGCGCACCCTGGGAGGAGGCCGGAGGAGGGCGACCACGGCGCGCCAATTGCGCGCCCGATGCGAATGCGCCGGCGGGCTGTGCATGCACTGAGCGCCGGCTTGACGAGCCAGTCCGGCAGGCCCGCCCGACGCAGCAGGCCCGGCAGCGACGCCAAGTTCACTTGGTCGTATGCCTTGCACCGATCGAGGGCGGCTCCGGCGATGGATTCGGACATCGCCTCCGCCGCTTCCAACTCTAAGGCAAGTTCCCAAGCCAGCTCTTCGGCCCCCAGTTGAACCTCTGCTCCAGCCCAGCTCAGCCGCCAGCGCGCGAAGTCGCGGGCCCGCCCCGCCGCCCGCAGGCGATACAGCATCGGCAGCAGCCAGATGGGCCGCCTGTCCAGGGCCCCCGCGCCCCCGCCAGGCTTCGGCAGAAGGAGCCCCTCTGGTTCGACCAATTCGCTTGGCCACTCACCGACGAACTCCACGGCCTCGAAGAAATCAGCCACCCAGCCCAGCAGCTCCTGGGGCAAGAGGCGCAACTCTGCCACCGTCCAGCCGTCGAGACCCGGCTTCTTCCGCTTGGGCATGTGGCGGAGCAGCCAGCTGATGTCATCTGCTGTCCAGGGCTGCCTGGGCGGGAACGGCGGTAGGCCATCCAGCTCTTGCAGCCAGTCCTCGCCCAAGGGAGGGACCACCTGCCGCTGCCAGAGCTGCCGCCAGGGGCCCTCATTGAATCGAAGCTTGGCGGCAGGCCCGCCGCGTAGAGCAAGCAGCCAGGAGCGCCGTCCGGGCGCGGAGTTCGGCGCCACTGCATGGGCCGCGGGGTCGGGCACGAGCTCCGCGTCCAGCGTGCCACCGCCGCGGATCCACCTGTAGAGGCGGCCCTGCGCGTTCGCCAAGGACTCGTCGACCCACCGGCGCCACTCGAGTTGCCTTCGCTCGCGTGCCGCAGAGCGGGCCGACGCCCAGTCAGCCTCCGCGAGCTGCACCAGAGCCTCCGGGAGCGCGGCGTCCAGCTGCACCGCCGCCAACCGCGGCTCCCAGGCGGCATCGCCCGCGTCCGCGGCCCGCAGCGCCGTGAGCGTCTCCCCTGCCACGCCTCTCGCCGCGACGCTGCCGCGGGCCATCGCGTGTCGCAGCCCGCGCAGGCGCCGTAGCCTCAGCAAAGCCGCGTCTGCAGCCGCATCTGCCGCCTCGCCGCCGCCTCCAGCCGCAGGAGCCCGCTCCGCGCGCAGCACTGCAGCCGCATGCGGCCGCTCGGGCACTGCAGGTCGCCCCTGCCGCGCCGCCAGCCACGTCCGCATGGTCATGCTGAGCGCCGCCCACGCCGCCGCCAGGTCCTGCGCCCTGAGCGCCTCGCGGTACGGCGCCTCGTACTGCGCCACCACCGCCGCCGTGACATCCCGTGCAACTGCTGGGCTCCAGCCGTCGGCGGCAGTGCCATCGAGGGCTGGGACCGGCTGCCGGATCCACGCCTGCTCGGGCGGGCTGGCCTGGAAGGTCACCAGCGGCGCCGCGTGCATGGCCAGCCCGAGGTCCCAACGGATGCTGACTCGATCGACCATGCTCATGGCCTCGGCGTTGGCCAGGATGTAGTCGAGGCGGGAGGGGGTGCCGTGGGTGGGCACGCAGGTGGGCCCTGCCGCGGCCAGCAGGTCGCGCCAGCCTGCCATGGCCAGCACTCCCGAGAGGCCCACGGCCTCCAGGCTGCAGTTCAGATCCCCCACGAGGAAGGCTGGCACCGCGCCGAGGCCACGCAGCCACTGCAAGCCTTCGAGGATCAGGTCGGCGTTGCGCTCCTCATCGCACCTACCGCCCGCGTAGCCGTAGCAGTTCATGAAGTGCACGGCCCGGGCCTGCCCGAAGTAGATCACCATGTGCTGGAGGCGCCCCGGGTGCCTGCACGACACGCCCAGCGGCGGCTCCGCCCGGACCCCGCAGCGGCCTGGCCGGTGAGCGACGGCCAGCAGATGATCGCCATCGCGCTCGGGCCCCACCTGGAGCCGCAGACCGCGCGTCCACGCATCCGCTGAGGTGGACGACGCCTGCCGAGCTGGGACGCGGGCCTCCTGCACGCACCATGCATCGGCGCCTGCCGCCAGCAGCCCCCGCCAGCTCGCACTCCATCGTGTCACGTTGGCCACTCTCACTGTGAACACGTCGTCTGGGTGGGCAGGCCCGGGGTGCGAGGCTTCGCCGACGCGGAGGCCCCGCCACGGCCACCCTCGCCATCTGGCCGTGGCATTGCTCCACGGG